GCTGAGCAAGGGAGAAGTATTTTATTTAATATGTATCTAAAATCAGCTGAAGATCAACGAGAAGAATATAAAAAGAAACATGAAGTTAACATAAAGAAAATGGATGCATCTCAACATACATTGAATCAAAATGAAAAATTATCTCCAATCTTAATACAATTGATTAATGAATGTTGCAAGAAAATTTGTGAACGTATTCAATTTATTTATAAATTCAAGTCTGAATCTCTTTTTTTGAAATGATAAATTTGTTCTTCTTTTTGTTTCAGTTAAAATAATGTTAAAATTCTCAATTGTTTTTGATGTTGTTTTTCTATTTCTTTTTCAGATAACTTCACTTGTTTTTATTCGACAATTAATTTTGTCTAATAATAATGAATGTCAATAATATGGATAGACAAGATAATGTTTTAATTTCAATTCAAGAACCATTGAAAAAGAAAAAATGTCATGGCAATCGAAGAAATCAACGTTTTCGAAAGAAATGTCTTGCTGAAAAAATGAAACCGGCGAAAATAGAAAAATTAATCAAGAAAAGAGATCGGATTTATAAGAAAAATAAGACGAACAAATTAAATAAAGAATCAACAAAATTAAAAAGTGATTTAGTACCAGCAGCAAAAAATTGTCAATCACAACCAATATTTAAAACAACAACATGTTTTAATAAACGTAAACGAGATACATCATCCCAACAAATATCATCAATAATCACAAATCAAACAATACCTAAATCAACAAGTTCAATATCTATTTTACAATCATCATCAAAAAAACTGAAGAATATATCAGAAACAATAAATAATAATACAAGAATCAATGAAAATAATAACGAAATAAATAAACAAATAAATTATCAGTGAGAATAATTTTTTTATCCAAATAATTATTCATTTTATTTATTTATATATTATTTTTGTATATATTTAGACAACCAATGTATTTAACACGATCATCACATTTACTCTATCAGATATTAAATAAAACTTTAAATTATTCATTGAAGAATAAAGATGAAAAAGAATTTATCTTTCAACGACTACAATTATTAGATCAACAATTTTATTTAGAAATGGATCGACAATTATGGCAATCTTATTTAGATCTTAGTTTACAAGAAAATTTATGGCCGGTAAATTTATTTTATTTTATATAATTTATTAAAAACACTCTTATATATTTTTTTATTTATATTAA